CTCTGTTGATGTGGTGTATTGCATTTATTGATGTGCATATATTGAATCTTCCCTGCACTCCTGGGATAAATCTTACTTGGTCATGGTGTATTATCTTCTTGATGATTTGCTGAATCCCGTTTGCTAGTATTTTATTGAGTATCTTTGCATCTATGTTCATTAGGGAGACTGGACTGTAGTTCTCTTTTTTGGGTGGGTCTTTCTCTGGTCATGGTATCAGGGTAATACTTGCCTCCAGAAATAAGTTGGGGAGAATTGCTTCCTTTTCAATGTCATTGAAGAGTTTTAGGACTGTTGGCATTAAATCTTCTCTAAATTTCTTGTAGAATTTAGCTGTGGATCCATCAGAACCTGGGCTTTTCTTTGTTGATAGGTTTTTAATCATGTTTTCAATTTCATTAATTGATATTAGGTTATTCAGGATTTTTATATCTTCTTGATTCAACTTTGGTAATTCATACGTATCTAGGAAACTGTCCATTTCTTCTGTGTTTTCCATCCTATGGGAGTAAAGATTTTCAAAGTAGGTATTGATGATCTTCTGAATTTCTGTAAGATCTGTAGTGATTTCACCTTTTTCATTCCTTATTGCATGAAATTGAGTTTTTTCTTTCCTTTTTTTTGATAAGGTTGGCTAGGGGTTTATCAATTTTATTTATTGTCTCAAAGAACCAACTCTGATTCATTAATTCTTTGTAGTGTTTTCTTTGTCTCAATTGCATTTATTTCTGCCTTGATCTTTATAATTTTCTCTCTTCTTCGGGCATTGAGCTTTGGACTTAACTTGTTCTTTTTTTTTTTTTTCCTAAAAATTTGAGGTACAGCATTATGTTGTTTATTTGTTCTTGTTCTATTTTTCTGATATGTGAGTTCGCCGCTATAAACTTCCCTCAGGGGACTGCTTTCAGTACATCCCACAGATTCTGGTAAGTTGTACTTACATTTTCATTTGTTTGTAGATACTCTGTAATTTCTTCTTTAATTTCATCTGTGACCCATTGGTTGTTCAGGAGGCTGCTATTTAACATCCATGTGTTTATGCAGTTTTCGTAGTTCCTTTTGTTATTAACTTCCAATTTCATTGCACTATGGTCAGGTGATATACATGGGATAATTTGAATTCCTCTGCATTTACTTAAGCATATTCTATGGGCCAGTATATGATCTATTTTAGAGACAGTCCTATGTGCAGCTGAGAAGAACGTGTATTCTGATGTTGTGGGGTGGAACATTCTGTAAACATCTACTGAGTCCTTTTGTTCACAAGTTTTGTTCAGTTCTGTTATTTCTTTGCTGATTTTTCGTCCCATTGGCCTATCTCTTTGTGTCAATGGGGTGTTAAATCCCTCATTACAATAGTGTTATTAGTTATTTGGTTTTTCCTGTCTATTAAGGTTTGTCTTATATAGTTGGGTGCTCCCATATTTGGTGCATACATATTTATGATTGTTATCTTTTCCTCTTGAAGTATTACCCTGGCAAGTATGTCATGACCTTCTTTATCTTTTTGATTGTGCTTGGTTTGAAGTTCACCTTGTCTGCAAATAGAATAGCTACACCTGCTTTTTTTCTGGGTTCCTGTCACATGGAGGATTGTTTTCCATCCTTTGACTTTCAGTCTATGAATTTCCTTTTGAGTTAAATGTATTCCTTGTATACAAAATATTGTTGAATTTTGTTTCTTGATCCACTCTGCCAGTCTGCTTCTTTTGATTGGTGAATTGAGGCTATTTACATTAATGGTTACAAGTGAAATGTATTGG